TTCTTATTACTTTCCTTCCCCACTGCTGCTTTGGGTAGTGATTTATTTAATGACATTCTCATGTCACTAAACATTCTGTTACACACCATAAGGTAAGTGTTCACATTGGATGAACTGATTGAATTCAACAAACATTTATTTAGTACCCACTGCATGTAAGACTGTGCCTAGTTCTGAAGATATACAGACGAAAATTAAATAGTCCCTAGATTGAAGGAGTTTACACTTTTGGGGAGGTGGGGGACAGCAGGAGGGAAGGGCATAAGCACACAAAGAGGTAAATACAAAATTTTACAAAGTAATTTGATGGAAAAAAAAGAATATTAATAACTTCGAGGAGCAGAAAAAGCCTTTTGTAGGAAGTTGGCTTTTTGAAGAGATCTAGGTATTGCAGTAAGCAGAGAGGGGAGAAAAATATACTGGGCATGGGGTACAGCCTGTGCAAAAGCACACAGGTAGGATGTGGAATGTTGGATACAGAGAAGAATAAACAGGATAGTGTAAATATTTATTTATTTTTATTATTTTTATTTATTTATTTTTAGGCAATTGGGGTTAAGTGACTTGCCCAGGGTCACACAGCTAGTAAGTGTCCAGTGTTTGGTCTGAGGCTGGATTTGAACTCAGGTCCTCCTGACTTCAGGGCTGGTGCTCTATCCACTGCGCCACCTAGCTGCCCCAGTATAGTATAAATAGAATGTAGAGTCTGTGAGAGAGAATAATATGTAAATCAATCAGGATCCATAGTTTGGAGATGGATTTGTGAAGGTCATGGACACAAATGAATGGAAATTTCAGTCTCAACCGCGGTTGGACTGTTTAGAGATCTTCAGGTAATGTGTTTCTAGTGGGCTAATGCCCAATTCTTTTTTGTTTGTTTGTTTTAGGCAGTTGGGGTTAAGTGACTTGCCCAGGTTAACACAGCTAGTAAGTGTCTGAGGCCAGATTTGAACTCAGGTCCTCCTCACTCCAGGGCTGGTGCTCTATCCATTGCACCACCTAGCTGCCCCTTTAATGCCCAGTTCTTAAAGGGTTAGGATAAGAGCACCATTCTTGGGTTTTTACTCAGGCCTCTGCTTCTCCTCTTCCTCCTAACTTCTGGTTTGTTTTCTCCTTAGATTTTAGGGAAGCCGGTGAGTTCTGTACTTCTTTTCAGCCTAGCTGCTCAGGGTTTCTGTGGCAGTGATGTTCTTGGGAGCAATAGTCAGTGCTAGCAGGAGAATGAATGAAGATTGAGGAGAGACAAAGAGAGAGACAGAGAGACAGAGACACAGAGACACAGAGAGAGAGACAGAGAGACAGACAGAGACAGAGAAAGACAGAGAGAGACACATACAGAGAGACAGAGAGACATGGATAGAAACAAAGACAGACATAGAGACACATAGGAGGTGGTTAATAAATGTTTACTAATAATAATATTAAGTGCAGAGAACATGCCCCGTTCTAGGGACTTGCAATCTTATTTAATCTATTTGACTATATTTGGGTGGGGAGTTAGCTATACACATGAGGGTAACCAATAAAATAGCATCCAGGTATCACATTACTCTGCCTGGCTCTTCTCTCTACAGACAAACCTGTTTAATTCATTCTGCCAACACCTGATTGTGATGGGGAACTAACCTGCATGATCCCCCTTGTCTTATGGCTAAGAGGACAAAGGAAGAGGTAAAAGCTTAGGCAAGGTGCTTTAATAATAGTAAACATAATAACAGCAATAATAACCCTTATTTATATAGTGTTTTAAAGTTAGCAAAATGCTTTAATTACATCATCTCACTTGACACAGACCAGGACAGTGACACAGAGAATGAGAAAGAGTCACATAGAGAGAAGATGAGAGACAGAGAGAGAGAAAGAGACAGAGAGACAGAGAGAGAGAAAAAGAAATAGAGAGAGAGAGAGAGAGAGAGAGAGAGAGAGAGAGAGAGAGAGAGA